TGTACATGTGTGTGTGTGTGCACACATGTGTGTGGGTGTACATGTGTGTGTGTGTGCACACATGTGTGTGGGTGTGACAAACAATTGCTAACTGAATGTTTAATTCCAAAGCTTGCTATTCATCTTGTATCAAAATTTATGTTAATGGTTTTAAGGTACATCTTACCTCATGAACATCAGTGTCTGGTAGTTCTGAGCTTTGAACAGAAAAAGGGGAGAACCTTGAATAGACAAATTCATCATCATCTGATTCCTTTCTAGAAAAGATCTTCCTGTCTCTAGAATAAGAAATGGGAGGGAAATTTATTTTTGAAATCATTTATTTTAGTATTTAATATGAAAATATATAAAGAATTTATATAACTTAGTAAGAAAGAGATAAAGATATATATCTTTATCTCATATATATCTATATATATAAGATATCTATCTATCTATCTATCTATCTGTGTGTGTATATATAAGATATCTGTCTGTCTGTCTGTCTGTCTGTCTGTCTATCTGTCTTTCTATCTATCTAGGGAACAAACAAGTAAGTTAAAAATGGAGAAAAGGCTGGGACAAGGCTCAGCAGTGTTCAGCTTGTAGGTGTGAAGAGCTGAATCTGAGCCATCGGAATGCACATAAGTATCCAGGCATGGCTGCAGCACATCTGCATTGTTAACAGTGACAAAATAGGAGGCCTCAAGTCTGAACCAGAGCCACACTGCGTATGTTCTAGGGAATGCCTGCCAACACAGGGGTGAGGATTGAATCCAGAGCTCAGTCACCCTCTCATGTGCCCATGATAAACTACATTCTCTGGCTCTGGAGGGAATGACTTGAACCACTGCAATCAGAAAGATGGAAAACTCATAGACAAATCCAAAGGGTAATTCTAGCCTATGAAGGTTCATGGGAAATAGAGACAAGAACACCAGACACGATCTATCTATCTATGATCCTATCTAAAGGGGCAACACATTAGAAAAACAGGAAAAATGGACAAAGGAGAAAGATCAGAGCTACTGACAAAAACAACATTAGCATAAGAATGAAATCTTATGTAGTTTAAGGCATGAAATCAAGCATATAAACCACCTGTGTTTCTGTCTCAATAGACAGAAATTCTTTGGCTGGCTTAAAAATCAAAATCAAATCATGATTCTGAATTTCCTCAGAAAAACCTAACAGAAGAGCCAAATCCAAGACAAATACAAGTAAGACCCAAATCATCCAACAGCCACAGGACCTGCAGGAGACCAGAAGTTGCCAATATATGCTCGCCCTTGAAAAGGCCTGTGTGAGTGGAAGCCCAGCAGAGCCGGGATGGTAGAGACGCCGGGATGGTAGAGACGCCGGGATGGTAGAGACGCCCGGATGGTAGAGACGCCCGGATGGTAGAGACGCCGGGATGGTAGAGACGCCCGGATGGTAGAGACGCCCGGATGGTAGAGACGCCCGGATGGTAGAGACTGGCCCAGGCCCTCACAATCACAATTTTAGTGTATAGAAAGAATGAGGACTTGGGAAACAGGAGAATTCAGGATGTGTTAAGAGATTTGAAATATCTTCAACAAACGATCTGTCACTGGAGAATACCACCAACCACGGAAACATCACAGGGGAGAAGATCTGTGTTGTATAGTCTGAGAATCAACAGGTAAGAACGAAAGTAAATGAAAATGAGGCCACCATACATACATGTACACACCACACACACACACACACACCACACACACACCACATACACACACACATACATACCACATACCACACAGCACACACACACACACACCACATACACACACACATACACACACCACATACCACACAGCACACACACACTACACACACACCACATACACACACACATACATACCACATACCACACAGCACACACACACACACACACCACATACACACACACATACACACACCACATACCACACAGCACACACACACA